GAGAGTCTTTGCTAGATTTTGGCATTTAGCAACTGGCATACGGTTTAATGTGAAGTCAACAACAACAACAACAACACAAAAGAAGCAACTAATTCACAGACAGGAGCAGCGTGTGTGTGTGTTTTTTCAACCATTTTGAGGAAGATGGGTACCCGTAAGCAGACACAGCCAAACTATCACGCAATACATACATTGTACATACATTTGTACATACATTTGTACGTAGTGCTGTGCACCCACCACGACGGAAGGGAAACAACTCAAATAGACAGGTGGTCGTGAACGGAAAAAGATAATGAACAATTATTTCGAAACACGTCCGCAGCGACCTGAGGGTGCAAAACTATTTTGTCGTCACTATACGACTCTCATTCTTCCCCTCGCTGCCTTGGCAAGGTTTTTGCGTAGGCATGACCCATAGCGAGGGGGGGGATCTTTCTAGCGAGCAAGGCTAGACTCACCCTCAGGGGACCGATACCTTCTTGCTGCGGCGCACCCGCCGCGAGGCGTGCGTAGTGGTGGAGTTGGGTCGGCACTGGTGCGTCAGGTACAAAGATGCAGATGCGGGGGCCTCCAGGCCGTCGGTGTAGGCAGCAATACCCATCTTACCTTTGTGCGCGGAGGCAGAAGTCATCAGAAAGGTGGACGGGCACTATGTACACGGCCCTAGGTTCGCTAGAGGGACTTGTACTGTCTCCGTAACCTGGTTTTGCCATCAAAGGAGGAGGGGACAGGTGGTGACGAGCTGACTGGGCTGGTTGANAAGAACCTTGAGTGCAACGAGGGAGAAAGCGAGGAACCGACTGGGAAGGACAGCAACGAGAGCGTGTACGACGCGGAGTGGGTCGAGTTTGGTCGTCACGGCTAGGACTGGCCANGCGCGGAGGCAGAAGTCATCAGAAAGGTGGACGGGCACTATGTACACGGCCCTAGGTTCGCTAGAGGGACTTGTACTGTCTCCGTAACCTGGTTTTGCCATCAAAGGAGGAGGGGACAGGTGGTGACGAGCTGACTGGGCTGGTTGACCGTTCGGCGCGAGAATTTTCAGACCAAGAACCCTAAGTGCAACGAGGGAGAAAGCGAGGAACCGACTGGGAAGGACAGCAACGAGAGCGTGTACGACGCGGAGTGGGTCGAGTTTGGTCGTCACGGCTAGGACTGGCCACAGCGGCACCGGAGCATGCGGACGGCATCGAACCGTGGCGCACGGACAAACATCTCTTGTGTTGGCAATTATTTTTCCGTTTTTTTCCTGAATATAGGTGTTGTGTGTGTTCTTTAGATCTTCTGATGATGGCTCTAGCATTTTTGTGACTACGGACCGAGTCTTTGCCAGATTTTGGGATGAGCAACTGACACGAGTTTAGTGTTTAATGTGAAGAAAAACAACAACAACAAGACTTTCTACGTTCATGCAAGAGTCTTCGTACAACGTCGTTCTATGTTCAACGTTCCGACTTTGTGCAAGCTGTACTGCTGCGGGTCGTGGGTGCTGTTTTTATTAGTAGTGTTCGGTACAGTAAGTGTCCCGATATAGTGCCGGTATGTGTCTGGGCGATTTGACCGGCACTATACCGGGCACCGGCACAGTTCAGAATTGTGCCTGATTAGTGCCGGCACTATTCAGGGCCTGAAAATCTCCCTATAATGCCGGCGTAGCACTTGTCAGGACTGTTCGACTTCAGAGTGCAGCGCTTGCGCTTTGCGGGGCTGACAAAGAACGGTATGTGTATCAATCGTGAGGTGGGCGACGTGGGCGGACTTCGTTGACTTTCGTGAGGCTCTTGGACTGTCGAGAACACGGCATTGGTCACATGAAAATTAGGGAAAACGACGCAACAGGGTATACCCTGGTCGAAAAGCGACACATCTGGGTACACAGTCATTAACAGCAGTAAATGCACTCATATCATTTGTCAGCGCCCAATTTTACCCCGGTGCGTCCGAAAAGGCGCAGGGTATACCCTGCCGTGACTACTTTTCTCAACAACTGTACCCTGTTTTCGGAAGTGTACCCTGACCTGTCGGGAAAAAAGACCCTTTCATCAATCATCTCTCCCGCAGGAATCTTCCCAGCTCCTTTTCCCCTCCATGGGATACCAAACGGTGACTCTTCCCGCCCAATAACAACCATGGCAACGGAGCAGGAATCAGTTTCCGCCCCTGCGAAACAACACCAACCGTCAACTCTTCCGCTCTACGTCAACAATGGCCGGGCAACACTCTCCCCCCCCTCGGCCTGCTCCCCGGCCGGGGCCGAAATCGTCCTAGTGAGTCCCTCGCGGGCGAACCAGGCCACAACAGATAGTAGGCGGGTGGTGTCCCAAGGTGTAACTCACCGCCGCGCTGGCTCAGCGTGGCGGTGAGGATGCACAGACGGTGGTAGTGGCGAGAGGTGTGTATGGACACTGTTCCCGCGGCAGTAATGCAAAGCGGCAAACTGCACCTGGCAACCACCGTCGCGGAAAGCGTGGCCCACGAAGCTGGAGGAGTAGAGAGATTCGCAAACACGACGTCAGTAAGAACCGTTCGCGGGAGAACGGAGACAACCGCGGGCACCGCGGGGAGGGGGTGCTGCACCCTCCTCGTCAAAACACCACAG